ACATGTTTTAGTTCAAAGTGCACTGCCACCATTTTCTCAACATGGAGGTGCACTGTGCCAATGATGCATGAGGCTGCCAGAGCATGTCAATTTTTGTGCACTGGTTTTCCAGCACATCGGAGCAGGCTCCTTGCATTGTAAGTGCTCTCTGTGACTAGCAACTTGCATGTCTTCCTCTGGTGCAATCCTAGTGGTTCACAGGGCAGGAGCTGGTTGTATGTAGAGTGCATTTCAAACATCATGATCCCCATTGATGTAAATCATACCCTTCCTTGTATATGTTAGTAGGTTGTGTGTGTGTGCACATCCGCACCAAATGCTGGCTACAGTTAAACTGCTGGAACTGGAGATAAATCCCCTGTGTAGACATGATCTGAATACAAAATTAGGCGTAAACCCTACTGCTACACTTCTAGAAGTATATTGCACTCAACAGGGCATGGTCTCGTGTATGTTTGGAGCAATTTCAGAAGAGGAAGGGGGTCTCTTGCTCTGACCCACACAATAACCGTTACATTCTCACAGCTGCTTGTGGACAGGCTGAGGACAACAGGTATGCAGCTAAACAGATCCAGCATTAACATTCCTTCCTTCAGGTTAAAATTGGTTCAGTTTTGCTAAATCTCTCCCAGGTTGTCTACATGCAAGTGTTAGAACATAACGGCTGCTGCTTGCTCCTAATCAGCAGCTCCCCTTTTGAAACAGCCCCAAATAGACATGTATCTGTACACACAGTATCGCTTTCTTTGCAGGCTATTTCTGAAGAAATCTTTGTAGTCGTGTTGTAAGTCATAACTTCATTTTGATTAGTGTTTGTTCATTGATCCTTTTGTTTCATTATAAAAAATTTAAGCATACCTGGCTCTTGTATAGCTCTTTTCATTCTGGCATTTTCTGTTGCTTTACAAAAATGGTATGTGTTATTAATATCCCCATTTCCAATATGAGTGAACTGAGATGCAGAGAAGTGAAGTGCTTTGTCCAAGCAATCTAGTAATAAATCTGGGAAGAGATGCTACATCCCTGCCTGATAAAGGGCTCCTCTATACTTTACTGTCCCCAATTAGGATAGAATACTTTGTTTCAAGTACTGTATAACTCCTCCTCCTCATCATTTTATACCCGACATGCACATCCAGCAGTATAACAGCATTCCTGTAGATTCAGTACATAACTCCAGTTAATGTCATATTATAATGGAGTAGGAGATTGTACTTTTAAAGATGTGACTAACTTCAGGTTGCCAGGATAATCTGAACATGTAGTGTGCTTGCATGCTGTCATTTCTTTTTCAATATGTGCAATATTTCAGTTTTATGCAAAGTTGTTGCTCCTATGTGTTCTTTATAGGGAATTAAAATAATGGAGACACTTCTACAGGAACAATATGGGTGCCCACTTTCCTAATAATGAACAATATGTATGTCGTCGATTTAAAAAAAAAAAAAAAAAAGGTAATATAAACTATTTTTTCATTAATATTTTCATGTTGCTACATGCAAGTGTATATACATATGTATATTTTCATATTACGAAATATTGTTAGTACAGTTTTCAGGAAGAATACTGAACAGCTACTTTGTTAGGCTTGATAATAGCAGAGTTCTTTAATATCAGGTTGTTGAAGATTGCTTTGTGTGCTATCTTTTTTTCCAAACTTCTTTATATCATGAACTCGATAGGCTTAATAAAATGAGATGTTCACTTTGTCTGAAGATCATTATTACTTGCAGAAAAGCAGTCTCTTCAAGGATTGTCCATAGATGCGAGATTTGGCCAACTCTTAAAGCAGTTTCAGAATGAGAGCAAATGGCTATTGATTACCTCCTAATAAATGTTCTTCTAAAAGCTGTTTTCTGTGCTTTTACAGGAGGAAAAGTATCTGTCTTAAGTTTCACCAGAGCAATATTTCTTTATTGCTATCACAGTTCCTACAGAAGTTACTCAAACTTTATTTGCACCATTTTAATTGAGGAAAGGGAAGATTTCAAATGCACAGCTTGAAGAAAAGATGTCCATTATCTATAAGTCCTTTTGGGAAGACTTAAGGAATTATGCTATTTAAAGGGACTTTATGGTTGTAACTTTGTAAATAGTATCATGGATTTATCCTGTTATCTCCAGACACTAAAAGAGAACAAGTGGCAAGAAAAACCCCCAAAAGCTATATATGCAATGAAGAGATCTTCTGTTAACCAGCTGCCTTGAGTCTTGTCAAGAAAGGTATGAAAAACACTTGCGGACTGTTTGGTTTGAATCTTAATTCTTAGGGGCAGAAATTCTTCTCTACAGCAAGGAGAGAGGTAGTTAGCCATGTCTTCTACAGAAAGGAGGATCTTCAGTAATCTTGTCAAAAGGGGAATGCATGTTAAAGAATTGCCATGCTGTACGATTTAACATTTCCAACTTATTTGCAGAAGTTTAGGGCTGGAAGGGACCTCGTGAGACCTGCAGAACTTGGAGAAAAAAAAAAGATTAAAGCTTCTTTTAGAAGTTATACATGCAGGCCATTGAATTATGCAAATATTCCTTTGAATGTGAACCAGTACAAAGTTTTCCTGCCGAGTCCATAGTGAGAGCAAAACAGGTAGCTTGGAGATAGGTGTGACTGTACCCGTTTGTAACCATCACTGCAGTGAAAAGAAAACTAATGATGACAATGAAATGTCAACATCAGTATTTTGGTGCTCATCATTTTGATAGAAACATCCAAGTTACATACCTGTGCCAGTGTGGTAGGATTCGTTTGGAAGGATGTTCTACAAATATAAATATGTCACTGTTCTGGCAGATGTTTTCTTTTTGTTGCCTTCTGATAGGAGAAGAGGGAAACGAATGGGATTAGGAAGTCTCTGAGTAAAGTCCTTAAAGAATGAGTGAGATCTCATGGACAGAGGTACATGCATTTCAATAGAACAATTTTGGTTAAAACTTCCATTCAAGATGCAGGTAACTTTGGGTCAGAATTTGTCATGCCAAATAATGCCTTTCTCCACAATTTAGGAAGTATAAAATGGTACAAAGTGTTAGCATCTGAGCATGGGCTCTTCTCTCCTTGGAGAGAAGAAGTTTTGGCAGATAATGCTGCTTTGTAAAATGCAAGAGGTAAGGATTTCTTAGGGTGATATCTTTTATTGGACCAACTATGCTGGTCTTGCATTTGAAAGCTTGTCTAATTTTATCCCAGCTATATAGTTGGTCCAATAAAAAGACCACCCTAAGAAGTCCTTGCCTCTTGCTTAATCTCTGAACCTGCATGGCTACAATATTACTCCTACATTATGTAAAATGTTAGGAACTTTACTATCCCTGAAGAACAGATAGGAAGGACTTATGCTACTAAGTTGTTACTGGAACAGCTCAAAGAGAGGTAGATATGGAGCACATTTTCAACTGGCTGATCAATTAGCAGTATATTTCCTTGATTAGAAAAATAGTTGATTTGCTGTTATTCATTATGTTTAACCATAGGGTATGTAAAACTTTTGTGAAGAAAAATCCTCTCCAGTGTGAGCTAATAGAGCTAAAAAGGACTTGATCAGCTATCAGGCATAGAAACAGAAGCGAACACTTGCAAACAATTTAAAAGCAAATGCATCCTTCTGAAAAGCTGATCCTGAATTTGTAATTTGTATAGTCAATATTTTTACATGGCAAAAATCTTATAGTTCATTACACTAAAGGCATGACATAGCATGCACTTCAGGTTGAAGATGGTGAGTAAAAGGGCAGACAAGTAAGTGTAAGAAAGCATGTTAATGTGTTTGAAAGCAATAGTGATGTTTTCTTTGACATATACATCAGTGTAAACTTTGATTCTTATATTTGGAATAACGTGCTTTATTTTTGTTTCCTATTGTTTATATTTTTCACAGAGCCTGTTGATCCTAACTAGGACATCTTTTGGCTTTGTTACACAGGTTTTAGTAGGTTGCGTTGCGAATGAATAATTTAGATACAATAGACAAAAAAAAATCTTGAAGGATGACTCTTCCCAGGAAAAGCAGGGAGAAAGAGACCACGAACATTTATGTGGTTACTTTACCACATCAGACCATTCACTATTACTGAGTCAGTTTGTGGAGGGAAGCTCAGCTTTTTCCCCTCCTTGCACTCTTGCCCTTTGAGATGATAACCCTGTATATAATACTAGCCTGATTATGGTAGCAGCTTTTGTTAGAAATATAACTTTATAAATACTGTAGAGATTCAAATAGGAAAAGTACATGGGATCCAATGAACTGATTGGAGGGGGGGAGCCTAAATAATAATAAAATTAATCTAATATGTCTCAGAGATACCACTTTGCGCCCTTCTTTGGGCCTGTCTACACATTACATTTATGCAGCACCATGTTAATAGTGGCATAAATGGCAATGGTGCTACATGTGCACCCAGTTATAGATTTAAGATGCCATAAAAATGTTCTACATTTAAGGATGGTTTGTATGGTGCATTAAATTGAACAAGTGGCTGATTGTTGCTCCTGGCTTTGGGACTGCACCAGTCTCAGACCAACTGTGGTGTTGCCCTGGGGCTGGTGCTGATAATTGGCTGATTATTAGTTCCAGTTCTGGGATTGCGCTGGGGTCTCCAACTGGTTGCTGTGCAGTCTTAGGGTCTGGGCCAACAGTCACCTGATTGCTAGCTCCAACCTGGGATCTGCCCTGGGTCCTGCCAGGCTCCAGTCACCTGGTTTTCAATGTGATCCTGTGCTCCCCCTGCACTGCCAAGTAGAAAGGGCATGATTGTGATCTGATGATCCCTGATCCCAGAATTGCACCTCCTGGTATGTACACATGGCATGGCAGGAGGCACAATTGTTGGAGTTGAGGAGCAGATTCCCTGACACCTTCAAATGAACATGTGCCAATGGCCTTTGACAGTTTCTCTGTTAATATTCAAAGGTAAATTAGTAACTCAGGAGATTGGACGCTTAGAAATACTATGGAGAAGAGTGGTGAATAAATATGTGGCTTCTTTATGAAAGTTTGTCACAATGATTAAATTAGGATGCTTAAATCCATTTTAGGGCTCTAAAGTAGGAGGATTTTCAAAAGTGCTGAGCACCCATTGGCTTCCATGGCAGTTAGAGAACCTAACTTTATGCACCCAGGGTCCATTGACTTCAGTGGGGTTTGAAGCAGACTCATAGGTTTTGAAAACCTTGGTTATAAGGGCCCATCAAGTCATGTTTCCTCTATTTGCCTAATGTTAGTCTCTCTAAAAGGTGCTACATTCACAATCCAATGAAACCTTTAAAAGTTGAATATTTTGTACTCAGGGCCAATATATTTAGAGCAAAATCACTTGCTTAATTTATATATTTTTCTGTGGAACTTTCTGTCAGTCTAGATTAGGTCTGTGCTTCAAGGCAGCTTTCAAATCCCTTTTGTTAAGCATGACTTTTATGTATTTTTTATCACTTGTTTTACAATCCTGAATGTAGTGTTCTTTTATGGATTGCTTTAATGCTCTAGGGGGTGGGTTTAATACCTGGTAATAAATTACTTAAACCATTTTTTGTTTACAGTATTTTTTAAAAAATTGGAAAAACAGCCTTACATATAACATAATCTCTCTCTCAGCAATTTGAGAGACCCTGGGGGTAAAGAAGGGCAAATTTTATTTCAAAATGAAGTATATAATTTGTCTTAACTATATTGTGTCTATGAGCTTTGTCATGATAAGATGAAAATTAGTTAATTTAACAGAGCAGTATCAGTCCTTTGGCTAATGCACTCATTAGTACATTTCAGATAGCTAATTGTTTATGGCAGCATTAGCAATCAATTTTGTATATTTATTAGATACACCAACTGCTACTGTAGCATGTGAAAGAAAAACTTGAATGTGGAACAATGATTTAGGTAATTCATTTTGACTAGCAGTTTTCCACATATGATGAGAGAAGATGCTGAATTTCTTATATATTATGTATGTAAATGTATGTGAACTGTTAGATGCACAGCGTTGTTTTGTATACAAAATATTACACTGTGAATATTTAATGTATTCCAATACCATTGTACTTAAGCTATATAACTGCGCAAAAACTGCTTGACTGTGAAGAAAAATATAAAATGTGAGAGCTGACTACATTGGCAAGTATCATCACACCTCTGTACATCCTCAAAATAGTACTCATCATTATATTGCAGTTGTCATAAAATAAAGTTATGAGAACTCCTATGTCTGGTCTGTGCGCCGTCATTTTTACAGGTTCAAACTAAATGGCTTGTGCATATGTAAAATGCAAGTATGAACTTTGTAGTTTCCAGTCCCATCCAAATAGAATTAATGTAAATGTTCTGTGGAGCAATTCTGCCAATAAGAGCACGTGAATTTATTTGGACAAATACTAATGCTCACAACTATCCATACCTGAAGTCAAATAGGTGGGCATGTTTACAGATGTGAGCCATGTGTCGTTCTTAGCTAGTTCAAATCTGCATACCATTATTTAAATTAATGAAGCTATGCAGATTAACAGCAATGGAAAATCTGGATCCATATGTTTTGTGATATAAAATCTGCAACCACTGTAGGACACTCCTTTAAGGACTATTGTACATCTAATATTGGCACAGTACACTGAAATGAATCTAATTTGGGCTGTCTTTGCTAGTTAGCTGAACTTTTATCTTTACTTTGAACATTGAATGATAAACACTTATGAAATGAAAGAAGCCCTAATGCCCAACATTACATGCAATTCTTCAGTAGACTGAAGTTTTTTTCCCCCTGCATGTAAAGGCTTTGCTCCTAAGAAGGGAAATTACTGAATAATTTCTCATAACCCAAAGCTCTTTCCTGTTTCAAATCAGCTCATGAAATTGGAGACTAATGCTTTGATATTCTTTCACAACCCATACCATGCCACTGGGTTTTGGGTTTGTTTTTTGTCTTTAAAAGCAGATTTCTAGTGCACTTCATTTGCAGGGGGAACTTGGACTGGAAGGTTGGTGCCTTGTTCTGACTCCAGCACTTCCATTTCTTCCCTAATTGAAGTGGAGTCATTCTGAATAATGTTTAAAGACAAATTCACACATTTGCATGGGGACTGAATCGTAGTCTCATTATTTGGCTGAATCAAGTGACAGGATAGGCCTTGTTAGTGTACCAGGTATAAACAAATAGAAACCAGTATCCCTGAGTTGGTGAGTTTTGGCCTTTAAGGCCTTGCTAAATGTTCAAATTGAAACTAGATATAAATCAGCTATAGAGTTGTTACACATTTTTAAGCACTAACTTTGTACCTGGTTGGCTTTTTGTCTAGCTGGACAGTTATTTTTATGGCATGATAATTACTTTGCATGCATGGCTGATTATACACCTTCCAAGGTGTAGGAACAGCATACCCACTTTTGGGGACTTCTTCCCGCTAGCTTCCTCGTTCCTGTGGGCTCTCCCTCATCTGTACTTTTTCCTGCCACAACTTGATGGAACGAGTAGATGAGGAGATGTGTTTGGGCCAGGGCCTTCCTGGTCTTGGCTCAATTTCACTTTAGCTGTGCAGAGCCCACTAGTCAGGGCCACAAGCTTTAGATGCAGTGGGCACATAGCAAGCGTGAGGGTTTACCACCATGTCTTTCCACCACCTTTCAGTCCTTGCTGGCTTCTCCCTGCTGGGCTTGGAGTTAACTTCACAGTCTCTGTCCTCTGCCTTCCCATTTATGTTGAGGTTTGCAGCGCTTTGTGAGCACCTACCTTTCTGTGGCCTCTACCTCCCTTACAGCCACTGCCCCGACCACTGGGTCAAGGGTCACCCAGGATCCTGCATGTCAGTTTGACTCTAAGCCAAAATGATCTGCCTTGGGTTCATCTTACCTTGGGACAGCACTCTCCAGCCTAAATTAAAAAGAATAAACAAATTCCAAAACTTATCTGGTTTCCAACATAGCGTCACCAGTCTTCTCTGCCCGGCTGCTGCCTGGAGCCTCTTCTCCCCAGCTCCGAGTTTAGTTCCTCTACCTCTTTGCAGGGAGCTCCTTTTCCAGGGACTCCTGTAGCCAGAC